TCTGATGCAGGGAAACTACAGGTATAACTATAAAAGAGAAAACGATTAATTATAAGAGTGTAACTGTAATACTACATGTAATAACACGCGCGCACACACACACACACACACACACACACACCTACTTGAAGTACATTAATAATAATACTAGATGAATGTAAAACATTGAGGGGCGAGCAAAACGAATAAAATTTTGATTTTTGATTAGCAATAATTATACAATGTCTATATAAGATATTGATGTAGTCACATAAAACTAAATAGTTTTCTAGTTCCAAGCCTTTAATCGTTTAATCCTAGTTCTGTAGTTAGTATAATTCTGGTAATGCACGTGCGTGTATACATGATGTAGATCTACATGTAGATTTTCTTGTAAAAGATGTAAATGTAACTGATGATGTAGATCTACATGCATTTCTAAATTTTCTAGTGTAACATCAATACCATAATGCTAAACAAAAAGTTAGATCCCAGTTAATGAAAATACAAAAAAACAACATTACAGGCCGTTACAACTGAACTAATAAAGCTAGTTAAAACTTACCATCGGCGATACAAAGATAGCTTCAGGATAGTAAGTAGAGCCAGACGACAAGTCCGTTTCAAATTCCATATACCTACCGCATAAATATGGGCCTGACCTCTCTTCTCTTCAATAACAAAATGAACAGGGCTCTTTTCGACTTCGACCGAGACTTCGACCTAGCTGACAAAGCAACCATGATTCAGTGGCACTTGGCACAGTTGGCACTTGCTTGATCACGTGACAAATAATTACCCCACTTTCGAAATTCCTCATCAAAATCAATAAAATATTCCATAGATATAGAATATTTTCAGTACTTCAAAAAAGAACTCTACTATAAAATTTTTAAAAGTTAATTAAAAATTTACTTTGTGCATGTGTTCTTGCATGCATGCATGCATGCATGCATGATGACTATGATGTGCATGCAAAATGTATTTCCTCCTACACAATAGAATGATGTAACAGTGCTCTTCATCAGCAATTCCTTTCTGCCATAAGCTTTTATGTATTACAGTCCACAACTCCCCACAATAAGCATATTGCCTGCATACTGTTTCAATTGCTTTGCATATTATGCTTTAATTGAGCATTAGAAAAATTATTGTAAAGCAGCAAAATTATTGTAAAGCAGCAAAATTATTGTAAAGCAGCAAAATTATCAGGTTATATATATAGCTAGTCTATATATTCCCTCTGATGAGTGGTACCGTTCAATTCCGGCTTTGCATCTAGCAACTTTTACAGACCGAAAATGGACCACCTTCAGTAACCTTCAAGTAGGATTTCCCTTTAGCACAGCAAGCACTAGCACTAGATGCTATCATCTAAAGAATTTAAATTAGAACAGTTATATAAATTCTGTCTTACTGTAAAATTCTTGCAATATGGATCACTGAAACATTCGTATTTGCACTCCACAAGAACAATAGCAATCATGAATACTACAGCAACAACAAGGATTATACGCTGAAAGGCAGTCATCATTCAAATCAGTAGTCTTGATATAGCTTTCCCTCAAGATACCGTCAACCTACAGTAGTAGAATAATGCACTTCCAAACAATAACAGTGAATAATGTACTAGCCAATAACAATGAGTGCATTGTTAGTGTCATGCCAAGTGGTGGGTGTAATAGCAATGGTCAATTTGGCATATGTGACTGTTATTGGAGTATTGTTCTATAGTAGTAGCTTATATCATAATAAGTGAAAATAAATCCTAATAAATTCAGACTAGATCTATATCTAGT